ATCCATTTTTCCTGCTGTATCCTCATACCAAAGACTACAAGTAAGATGAGATTGTTTAGCAGCAGGGGCATAGTTTAAAAGGGTTTCCATGTATGCTCGATATGCATAGGTATTATTAGGTGGTGATACAAGTTTTTGGTTTAAATAAACATCAAGTTGACTAAAAAGTGAATGCAGCCAATTATTTACAGGTGCTACTATTGTAGTAGATACCAAGTTAGTTGAATCTTGATTTAATACTTTTGCCTTTATGTGGAGTAATGTATGAGACAAATCTATGTAGTCATCGCCGGTCCCAGGAACTTGAAACTCGATAGGTCCATCATCACCAAGAGATGAAATTGGTTTATAATGAATCCACAATCCATTTTCAATGCTAGTTTGTGTAGACGGTAGTGCAAACAAATCCAATTCTGACTTAACGCACTCGCAAGAATGATTATGAAGGAAAGACATATTTAGTTTGAAAATATATCTTTGATATTTTTTGGTTTTAGACTAAGTTTTTTCGCAGCTTTCACTTTAGCAGTTAATGGTGGAATGAACGATGTCAATCGTTTTCTTTTAGTTTTATACCCAGATCCAGTCATGTTAAATTGATCAATTTTCTCATCAGCCTTTCGTTTTAAATTCGTACTAACTTGCTTTAGACGATCTTTTATTGAGGCTTCCATAGGACGGGCTTGAACCATATCCGATAAAAGTCCTACTCCAGCGCTTAATGCCTCCTTACCAATCACTCGAGCACCACTTGAAAGTAAAGGTAAAACTGATCTGAATAACCCCCCTAAGAAGCTCCCAATACCATGACCGCGTTGATATGGTGAACCCTTATAAATTACTCCAACTCCTGATCCAGCTTGATGTGTATAATAATTTTCATATGGACATTTATGATGATCACGAAGAGAATTCATTATTATAATTTTCGGAAATGTAGTTTAATACACACGGTTCCAAACTGGAATGGTATTTTTTGTCCTGTACTCGATCTTATAACTATTTCCAACGTATCGAACTCTCTTCGCATAACAGGTAAGTAGTGAGGTTGAGAGAAAACGTGCATTTTATTTGCACCATAAATGTATTTTGTAGGATCTAATGAAATGACTCTTAATAAAGGAGTCATAACATCACCCACAATTTGAGGATCGATAATGTCGCAATATAGAAATAGTTGAGATGGTAACCCTAAGTGTAAATTAGCAGGACACTTTCCAAAATTTCTCTCTAGGAGATTTTTATTTGGTTCATAACCTAGCTGTAAACTTAATTTGGGTGATAATGTTACGGATGTTATATTTTTATCCAATACCGAAATAGACACAAATTTTGTTATTTCATCATAGCGAAATTTCAAGTTCTCTCCGATACCATTTAACACTCTTAAAATATGCTCAACGTTATCATAGTTGGTAGCTGGAATATGTTTTTTGTAGTACACTGTGGATGGTTTATCTTCATTAGGCATTAACATAGATTTTGTAATGTATATAACATTTTCATGATCTTGAACAGTAAACATGGTACATGGATATTGAAACTCGACAACTCCAACCGACCATTCACCTTCTAATTTTATAGCTTTTGGTAATTTCGTTGAAAAATTTGTGGTCTTGTTATCAGGAAAGTATTCCATTGAACTATTGCTGAGCAAAGTTAAATAGAAACTTTCTTTATTCATATTTCTTTTAAACTAGAAGCTAAAATCCAACTGTTAAATTTATCTGGATAACCTTTCCACTTCACTAATACTTCTTTTCTGTTACCTGAATAACGAGTGTCAATTATTTTATCTATTTTATGTTGTGAGGTGGGGTTGTAAGTGATTTTCTGTAATTCTCTTTCATAAAAAGTACCAATTATTGGTTCATTTTGTAAATCTGTTATTGTATAAACAACCCATGGAGATCTATCAATTATTGAAGATATAATAAATATTTCATCACTCCAATTTGATTCATATACTTTTTGGAATACATGTTTATATTTAGTTATTCGAACATAATCACCCACATTGAAATTTGGTTTAGGATTTTCTAAAGAAAGTTTTTTTGACCGTCTGTCATAAAGATTAGTCCAAACTGTCATAATATTGTTGGAATTTACATCACATGGGCACATCTTAATACTAGAGTGAAAGCTGTGATTATAAGAGTATATTAAATCTTGTAAAACATCTATATATCTATAAGTATTATTATGAGTGAAATAACGCCACATTTTCATTTTTAGTGTTCTTTGAAATCGTTCAACAATACTGGCCTTAATGTCAGGATTGTTAGTGGTATAGTAATTAATCTTTTTGGATTTAAAGTATTTTTGTACATCTTTTGAAACAAATTCGGTACCTTTATCGGATTGTATGTGAGTAGGTGTTAAATTACTTTCAGTAAATATACTTTCAAAACATTCTTTAGTTGTTTCTGAGTTTTTCTTTTTCATTGGTCTTGCAAAAGCATATTTACTAAATACATCAATAATACAAAGTATATACTTGAAACCATCATTATATTGAGAATAAGTTCGCATATCACTTAAATCAGCTTGCCATCATTATATTGAGAATAAGTTCGCATATCACTTAAATCAGCTTGCCACAGTTCATTAATATTTGATAGAATGTACCTATTACGCGGGAATTTTTTTCGAATGGGTTTATGTAATGTGTATGTTTCTTGTGATTTTAACCATTCCTTTACTTGCTTTTTATTCATTTTACCCTTCATGGCTTTTGATAATTTATCAATACTACCAAAACCAGCGGGATTAGATGGATCATAATAAATCCTGTTAATTTCTTCTAGTACGGAGTCCATTTTTCCCACTCAAGTCCTTTACGTATTTTAGTTGTAGACTTTTTATCTCTACTGCACGGTGTAGAAAACTCTTGAACTTCAATCTCAGAGGGTTTGTTCAGATCTTTTGCTTGAAGTTGGTTAATAAACTCACATCTCCTTGGATTTCCAATATAAGTAAGTGGTACTTTAATATCTTTTAATGCTTCAGCAAATCTAACCCACCCTACCGGATCACTTCTTTTTAGGGGTCTTAGTGAATCATTTATTAAATCAACAATATTACTTCCAGGAATTTTTTCACTATCAATTATGACTGTACCTTCGTTATCCCAATGTATTTTACTTTTACTTGTTTCAACTAAGTTTAATAATAACTGCCCTTTTTTATGATAAGTTTTTGGTATTAAACTGAGTATTTGAGCTGGTGTGTAAAGTGGATTTTCATCATTTTCTTTACTTTTAATGGATCGATTCTCCTCCAGCAAAGATTCAATATCAACTGAAGTTTTTAGATCTCTATCTTTATTTTTAAAACCAATTTTTGACTCATTTGAATCTTCATTAGATGTATCAGAATAAATTGGTAATTTGAGTGGTTGACGATCCTCTTCGGTAAAATGAAGGTATCTTTGCAGTGTTTGTAAATATAATATCCATTTCTTTCGGTCTTCCGTCTTACTATTCATAATATTTTGCATTTCAATATCTAATCGAGATAAATTACTATTAACCTTATTTTCTTGTTTTAATTTTTCAATCAATCCAGGTTCGATAAGTATCATTTTCTTTGCATTTTCCATGTTAACTGGCTAGTCCACTCACTAATCCACTCAATATTGCACCTAATATTGTTGGTAAGAAAGCCCCTCCTTTTTGTATAATTATATTTTTTCTTAGTTTATGTTTACACTTACGTACTAGTTTACGGAGTATGTTTTTATGTTTATTCAATTTTTGTTTATCCTGATCTTTAAGAGGTACTTTTCCTTGTAAAACGTTATGAATACACTCACAAATACAGTTAATTTCTTCTTCATCACACGTTTTAAGTAATGCTCTTTGATATTTTGGTTTAAGCGTATGCAAAGCGGTTAGCAAATGTTTATACGTTGTGAGTCGACGATGCATCATTTAGCAATGATTTCAATTGTTTGATTCTTGGTGTATTTAAACTCTTTTGTGGGGACGTAGACTGTACAGAAACCATTAAATGGTAAGACATTTGTCTTGATACGACAAAAATCATTGGTATTCTGTTTTAAATCTACCATTAAATATCCATGTGCCTCTAGAGTTGCATCCCTGTAGGCATTTTCAATGAATTTTGGGTTATCTGGTGATACTTGTCTTGCTAAATATCTTATTTGAGTTTTATCTCGAGGGTTTTTAAAATATATTATATAACTTGAGTTTAAAGATATGTCTCTTTGTCCTTTACCCTGATGAAATAAATTTTGTGTTAGATAAAATACACTAAGATTCCTGTGATGACTACCTTTTGTAAATATATCCACAATTCTTCCATCGGACTCTCTCATTAGATCATCAATAATAACAAGATGTGGGTTTTCACCATCAAACATATTAAGATTTGGAATTCCTTGATGATAGTTAACATTTGGTAAATTATATTATGGTTGCATTTCATCAAAGCACCATGTGATCTGATTAAAATCACAATTACATATTTCTGTAACTGATTTTATGAAATTTGTTACAAAATTTGACTTCCCACACCCACTTGGTCCTGCCACAATAGCAGTGAACGGATGGATAAAGTGAAACATAACACACGTCTAAAGTTCAAAGGGGTGAAATAAAAAATGAAAGTGTTGGTTTAAACAATTAATATATATTCCAAAAATTATATAAAACAGAATTATCTGTATACTATTTCTAACACAATTAGTACATCATAATTTTACAATTAACTCAACCTCAAATAAACTGAAACAACAATTAGTACATCATAATTTTACAATTAACTCAACCTCAAATAAATAGAAACAACAATTAGTACATCATAATTTTACAATTAACTCAACCTCAAATAAATAGAAACAACAATTAACTTAAATTTTTACAATAAAACAATGTTTAAATATGTAATAAACTACGTCATATTATAGTATTATCATAATTTTACAATCAATATAAATTTTTCTTAAACGCAGACATAAAAGTAAAAACTATCAACACTTAACGCAGTTTATAATGACCCCAAGCTAATGTTTCAATATTATTATCTAAAATATGTCTCTTTGTGTCATTATATGATAAACCTATCTTATTTAATTTTTGTGTGAAAATTGTGTGTTTAATTGATTTAAATCTAAGCATACTATAATATTGCACTTTTTTATTAAATAGAGAAGACTTATAACTATTCATTGTCATCTTTTTAGTGATACATTTATTTACCCCTTTTGCCTTGGCTATAGTCTTATTCTCTAAGTTAAAAGCGTACATTTTGGATCGTAAACCCACAAATTCTTTCATGATTTTACCATTATTTTCATCTTTAAAAAAACCTAATTTCTTTTTATTTAATTTTGGATATTCAAAAATATTATTTGTATCATAATCTGAGGTATCAAAGTATGATGAAAGGTCAGGTTTTATATCAGTGTAAAAATCATTTGTAAATATATGATATATTAAACTATCCGTATCTGTATACAATAATTTGATTTTACTAAACTTTTTAATCATATAGTTATAATGAAAATCATACATTAATGTTTTTGAAATATCTAAAATGCAAAACCCTAAATAAATTGGTTTGTTATATATTAACTTCGTTTTTCGCAACTGAACCGCAACTAGGTTTTCCGAAAATATTGAAAGGCTATGAAATTGTGGTTTAGCGATTAGATCTTGAGCACCTAAAGCTTTACCCTGGTTCTCCCAGTGCGTAACTAATTTTATGTTAACCCTTTTTTCAATATTCTCCATAGTCTTACCGAAGACTGAATTATTCATTAATTTATAAAAATCTTTTTCGAAATCTGATTTTGCTAAAGTTCTTAATTTTGTGTTTAGATCTATGTACATCTTCAACCAGGGAGACTGTTTAAATTTTAAAACTCTATGAATTTTAGTTAATTTAACCCCCATTTCTATGCACTGCTTTAAATTTCTGTAATGAATTACATATTTATCTTTATTATTTAAATTTGGGACTAGTTTATTCTCATTAATATTGCCTACACAAATGTTTTCTGGACATAAAGGAAAGTCCGAATGTAAATCATGAAGTTCATCTGGATATTCCAAATCAACTTCTAAAATAAAACCGAAGTCTGATGTCTTAGACACATTAAATTCTGTATTTGGATTTACCCATTCGAATCCACCAGTAGGAAGATATTGAGACATAGCCCAACCATATAAATTGTTGGCATCAAAATATGTGATATATGAATTTGGTTTCCCTGTATCATAATCCTCCATGTATTTGTTATTAGCTCTAGCATAACGATTACTACATTGAGATACACCACCTCTGATACCTGATCTAATAAATGCAATTTTCTCATAATCTGTTAAAAGTTCTAATTCTATTTTTGTATATTTTAACATTGCATCCCAACTTAAACCGGGTGCTGTGTAATAATGGACAGGGTCTAAATCATATGTATTAATACATAACTTTCTAAAGTTTTCAAATACATCGGATAAAAGTAAAACGTCTGTTTTTAAATATAGGTTTGAATAATCTAGCATATTACAACACCCAAAATGTTCCCAAACATCTTTAGCATGATTGTAATCATCATTTGAAATATGTGAATCTGTGAGTGAACTATAAAAACATTTTTGTTCAGGGAGCGATGTTAGATTTAAACTATCATAATTAGTCATAAGTTCATATGGATAAACACCTTTCCGTTTTAAACGAAAGAAATCTTCATCATTAGGGTAATTTCTACGTAATTCTTGAAATTGATCATTACTGAGATTTTTGGCCAATTCTTCTAATTTACACGATAAAAACTTAAATGAATCTAAGAATCTCAATATAATTTCGTGGTTATTCACTTTTAATTTTTTGGAAAAGGATATATATTTTTCTTTATTTTGAGGGATAACTTCGACTTCACCATCACAAAAGTTTAACGCGTGAACAATAAAATGAGCATCATAGTGACTAAGGTTGTGTAAAAATATTGGTATATAACTAGGTGTTCTGATCTTCGAACAACATGATTCATGAGCAACACCTATAAAACTACCAGTGTACCAATCAAAATCATAAAAATGTTTTGCCAACTCAGTTTCACAAATATGACAAATGGTTGCATTTGAAATTTGGTTTTTGTCTTCATTTGTTAGCGGAAGTGGTGGATATTTTTGAAGTCTATTTATTTCTTTTAGATTGTTAGATAAACTTTCCATAAACACTTGTGCACAGTTGGGTCCACAATATGTTACATATTTTGATAATTTATCATCATATGAACATTTTATATAATATCCAAAACTATGTACTTCATGTTTCTGAATATTATGAGTGAAAGGTTTGGAAGGATCGTTAGAACATGATTCTATTGGTTTTAAAAATGCTTCAAAATCAGCATAAACTACGAATGGTATCTTTAACTTTTTTTCATAACTATCAAATTTAATTTTATCATTTGAAATAGGTTGACCAAACCAATTCTTTTTTTTTAAAGTTTCACTGTTTGGTAATACTGTACAAATGTGAGCACAATCGTATTGTTCATGGTTATTTAACCTTTCCTGAGATGGAAAACGAAGTAGACATGCTTCACAAATGTACATGATGTGACCGTCTTTTGAAATTTGTTTACTAACTAACCGCGATAAATTTTTTATATAGCAATAATGATTTTTTGTATCCTTGGAAAAAAATAATAAATTGATATGTCTATCTTTACGACACTTTGTTAAAAATAATGGACCTACTATAGAATTACATCGTTTTTCTTTATTATATTCTAACCCAAAAACATTAATACTAATATCATTTAATTTCTCTACTTTTGCTATGTCAGAAATTTTAACCGGAAAGGAAATACCATCAAATTTAAGTTTATTTGCATGTTTAACGTACGATGATACCCGATCGGTGTGTTTGTTTACAGGATATAACGCCGAGAGTAACGCCCATTTAAAACAAAAATAATCCTTGTTTTTTACATTTATAACAGCCTTTTTTAATTTTATGTCACGAGGAAGATCTATGTATGAAGTACCGCGTAGGGGGTTAAATTTATTAACATTCATGTCTATAGATTTTATGTTTTTTAGACTCCATCCACTATCTTTTTTTTCGAAAGCACTAATTTTAGTAGTAATTGTATCATTTAAAGATGAAAGAAAAATATTTAAGTCATCTCCTTGACAAATAATATAGTTAAGCGTTTGAAAATCGAACGTATCATGAATATCTTTAGTTTGTTGAACAAAATCAGCATGCAATATGAAGTTTACCTTAAAAATTATGTGTTGATGAATACACTCTTGTAATAAAAATAAAATATCATCTTTAATAGAATTTAAAAATAGTTCAGGAGTTTCAAAATTTACCCATGTCGAACGATCTACTCTACTCTTGATTTTATAAGTTAAAATCCTATTTCCAAAAGCAGATTCAATAACACTAACGTTTGATAAAGAATTATGTGAATTTAAAAGATTACTTTTATGAACATTACTTTTAAAATGATTAGCTAAATACCGTTTCTTGATAAATATATGGCACGTTGGACATTCCACTTGATCATCGTTACTGATACTGTTCCCTGCAGAGGTATGCGCTTCTGCTTTGCGGTTCAGTTGCGAAAAACGAAGTTAATATATAACAAACCAATTTATTTAGGGTTTTGCATTTTAGATATTTCAAAAACATTAATGTATGATTTTCATTATAACTATATGATTAAAAAGTTTAGTAAAATCAAATTATTGTATACAGATACGGATAGTTTAATATATCATATATTTACAAATGATTTTTACACTGATATAAAACCTGACCTTTCATCATACTTTGATACCTCAGATTATGATACAAATAATATTTTTGAATATCCAAAATTAAATAAAAAGAAATTAGGTTTTTTCAAAGATGAAAATAATGGTAAAATCATGAAAGAATTTGTGGGTTTACGATCCAAAATGTACGCTTTTAACTTAGAGAATAAGACTATAGCCAAGGCAAAAGGGGTAAATAAATGTATCACTAAAAAGATGACAATGAATAGTTATAAGTCTTCTCTATTTAATAAAAAAGTGCAATATTATAGTATGCTTAGATTTAAATCAATTAAACACACAATTTTCACACAAAAATTAAATAAGATAGGTTTATCATATAATGACACAAAGAGACATATTTTAGATAATAATATTGAAACATTAGCTTGGGGTCATTATAAACTGCGTTAAGTGTTGATAGTTTTTACTTTTATGTCTGTGTTTAAGAAAAATTTATATTGATTGTAAAATTATGATAATACTATAATATGACGTAGTTTATTACATATTTAAACATTGTTTTATTGTAAAAATTTAAGTTAATTGTTGTTTCTATTTATTTGAGGTTGAGTTAATTGTAAAATTATGATGTACTAATTGTTGTTTCTATTTATTTGAGGTTGAGTTAATTGTAAAATTATGATGTACTAATTGTTGTTTCAGTTTATTTGAGGTTGAGTTAATTGTAAAATTATGATGTACTAATTGTGTTAGAAATAGTATACAGATAATTCTGTTTTATATAATTTTTGGAATATATATTAATTGTTTACACCAACACTTTCATTTTTTATTTCACCCCTTTGAACTTTAGACGTGTGTTATGTTTCACTTTATCCATCCGTTCACTGCTATTGTGGCAGGACCAAGTGGGTGTGGGAAGTCAAATTTTGTAACAAATTTCATAAAATCAGTTACAGAAATATGTAATTGTGATTTTAATCAGATCACATGGTGCTTTGATGAAATGCAACCATAATATAATTTACCAAATGTTAACTATCATCAAGGAATTCCAAATCTTAATATGTTTGATGGTGAAAACCCACATCTTGTTATTATTGATGATCTAATGAGAGAGTCCGATGGAAGAATTGTGGATATATTTACAAAAGGTAGTCATCACAGGAATCTTAGTGTATTTTATCTAACACAAAATTTATTTCATCAGGGTAAAGGACAAAGAGACATATCTTTAAACTCAAGTTATATAATATATTTTAAAAACCCTCGAGATAAAACTCAAATAAGATATTTAGCAAGACAAGTATCACCAGATAACCCAAAATTCATTGAAAATGCCTACAGGGATGCAACTCTAGAGGCACATGGATATTTAATGGTAGATTTAAAACAGAATACCAATGATTTTTGTCGTATCAAGACAAATGTCTTACCATTTAATGGTTTCTGTACAGTCTACGTCCCCACAAAAGAGTTTAAATACACCAAGAATCAAACAATTGAAATCATTGCTAAATGATGCATCGTCGACTCACAACGTATAAACATTTGCTAACCGCTTTGCATACGCTTAAACCAAAATATCAAAGAGCATTACTTAAAACGTGTGATGAAGAAGAAATTAACTGTATTTGTGAGTGTATTCATAACGTTTTACAAGGAAAAGTACCTCTTAAAGATCAGGATAAACAAAAATTGAATAAACATAAAAACATACTCCGTAAACTAGTACGTAAGTGTAAACATAAACTAAGAAAAAATATAATTATACAAAAAGGAGGGGCTTTCTTACCAACAATATTAGGTGCAATATTGAGTGGATTAGTGAGTGGACTAGCCAGTTAACATGGAAAATGCAAAGAAAATGATACTTATCGAACCTGGATTGATTGAAAAATTAAAACAAGAAAATAAGGTTAATAGTAATTTATCTCGATTAGATATTGAAATGCAAAATATTATGAATAGTAAGACGGAAGACCGAAAGAAATGGATATTATATTTACAAACACTGCAAAGATACCTTCATTTTACCGAAGAGGATCGTCAACCACTCAAATTACCAATTTATTCTGATACATCTAATGAAGATTCAAATGAGTCAAAAATTGGTTTTAAAAATAAAGATAGAGATCTAAAAACTTCAGTTGATATTGAATCTTTGCTGGAGGAGAATCGATCCATTAAAAGTAAAGAAAATGATGAAAATCCACTTTACACACCAGCTCAAATACTCAGTTTAATACCAAAAACTTATCATAAAAAAGGGCAGTTATTATTAAACTTAGTTGAAACAAGTAAAAGTAAAATACATTGGGATAACGAAGGTACAGTCATAATTGATAGTGAAAAAATTCCTGGAAGTAATATTGTTGATTTAATAAATGATTCACTAAGACCCCTAAAAAGAAGTGATCCGGTAGGGTGGGTTAGATTTGCTGAAGCATTAAAAGATATTAAAGTACCACTTACTTATATTGGAAATCCAAGGAGATGTGAGTTTATTAACCAACTTCAAGCAAAAGATCTGAACAAACCCTCTGAGATTGAAGTTCAAGAGTTTTCTACACCGTGCAGTAGAGATAAAAAGTCTACAACTAAAATACGTAAAGGACTTGAGTGGGAAAAATGGACTCCGTACTAGAAGAAATTAACAGGATTTATTATGATCCATCTAATCCCGCTGGTTTTGGTAGTATTGATAAATTATCAAAAGCCATGAAGGGTAAAATGAATAAAAAGCAAGTAAAGGAATGGTTAAAATCACAAGAAACATACACATTACATAAACCCATTCGAAAAAAATTCCCGCGTAATAGGTACATTCTATCAAATATTAATGAACTGTGGCAAGCTGATTTAAGTGATATGCGAACTTATTCTCAATATAATGATGGTTTCAAGTATATACTTTGTATTATTGATGTATTTAGTAAATATGCTTTTGCAAGACCAATGAAAAAGAAAAACTCAGAAACAACTAAAGAATGTTTTGAAAGTATATTTACTGAAAGTAATTTAACACCTACTCACATACAATCCGATAAAGGTACCGAATTTGTTTCAAAAGATGTACAAAAATACTTTAAATCCAAAAAGATTAATTACTATACCACTAACAATCCTGACATTAAGGCCAGTATTGTTGAACGATTTCAAAGAACACTAAAAATGAAAATGTGGCGTTATTTCACTCATAATAATACTTATAGATATATAGATGTTTTACAAGATTTAATATACTCTTATAATCACAGCTTTCACTCTAGTATTAAGATGTGCCCATGTGATGTAAATTCCAACAATATTATGACAGTTTGGACTAATCTTTATGACAGACGGTCAAAAAAACTTTCTTTAGAAAATCCTAAACCAAATTTCAATGTGGGTGATTATGTTCGAATAACTAAATATAAACATGTATTCCAAAAAGTATATGAATCAAATTGGAGTGATGAAATATTTATTATATCTTCAATAATTGATAGATCTCCATGGGTTGTTTATACAATAACAGATTTACAAAATGAACCAATAATTGGTACTTTTTATGAAAGAGAATTACAGAAAATCACTTACAACCCCACCTCACAACATAAAATAGATAAAATAATTGACACTCGTTATTCAGGTAACAGAAAAGAAGTATTAGTGAAGTGGAAAGGTTATCCAGATAAATTTAACAGTTGGATTTTAGCTTCTAGTTTAAAAGAAATATGAATAAAGAAAGTTTCTATTTAACTTTGCTCAGCAATAGTTCAATGGAATACTTTCCTGATAACAAGACCACAAATTTTTCAACGAAATTACCAAAAGCTATAAAATTAGAAGGTGAATGGTCGGTTGGAGTTGTCGAGTTTCAATATCCATGTACCATGTTTACTGTTCAAGATCATGAAAATGTTATATACATTACAAAATCTATGTTAATGCCTAATGAAGATAAACCATCCACAGTGTACTACAAAAAACATATTCCAGCTACCAACTATGATAACGTTGAGCATATTTTAAGAGTGTTAAATGGTATCGGAGAGAACTTGAAATTTCGCTATGATGAAATAACAAAATTTGTGTCTATTTCGGTATTGGATAAAAATATAACATCCGTAACATTATCACCCAAATTAAGTTTACAGCTAGGTTATGAACCAAATAAAAATCTCCTAGAGAGAAATTTTGGAAAGTGTCCTACTAATTTACACTTAGGGTTACCATCTCAACTATTTCTATATTGCGACATTATCGATCCTCAAATTGTGGGTGATGTTATGACTCCTTTA